GACTATTTTACGGCTTTCAAAGTTTCCCAGAAGCTCAACACTCAGATCCCAGCAAGATCTGATCGTCAGCTACATTTTCCGGCAGGAATTAGTTTCAATTTTGGATAAGTTTGGATTGAAGAAATTGAGATTAATGATGCAATCTCAAGAGAATTTCTGATAGTTTCAATTGAAAGGGTAAAGAGATAAGTTTCAAAGATCTGTGGCTATTGAAAATATTCGGAAGCTTTAAAACTAAACCTGCTTTAAATGCTAGATTCAAAGTTTGAAAGTGAAATAAACTTTAAAATATAAAGAAAAGAGGGAGAATCTTTAGAGAATTTTTAGGAGAAGCTTTAGAATTCAATCTTTAGCTTGAAGATAAACTTCCAACCGTAAAGAGACTTAAAGCTTTAGGGATTTCTACAATTCTTTGTCACAATACATTTTGTATTCTTTGTGCTTTCAAATCCCGTAAACTAGCGCTCGTAAGAATTTACTGCGTTTACTCGTAAACGCAGTAAATTCTTCCATTCTCTCTCGTGCTGTGAGGGGAAAATGGAAGAATTTGAGTGAAAAGGGGAGCCTGAGCAGTAAAGTCCACAAGCCATACCTAACAAGCTGTAAATCAATCAACCAATTGAGCTACATTTTCAACAAACAGCTACATTTTCCGGCCCCACATCGATAGGTTCTGATAAGCGGTTCTCGAGATTTCGAGGGATTTAGACGACGATCAGGGTGCAATTACTATTAGAGAAAATAAGGTAACCACAATGAGATTTTGATTGATTTGATATTGAGATTGATTCTAAAAACTAACCTTTTGAAGCAACCAATTAATGAATTTTTTAAATTTTTTTGCTTTTAATTAAAAAGTACTTTCAAATTTTTACCTAAAAACCCTGCAACATTCTTTTTTCAACGAAAATAGTCAAATGAAGGCTCAAATTCCTCGTGCAAGTGCTCAATGAAATTGCTCAAATTGCTCAATTTACTAAAAAATCAAGCCAAAGACTCAATTCAATTAAAATCAAGTAAAACTTTAATGAAACTTAAGAAATTTTTTTGAGAGTTTTTGTCCCAAAAGTTTAACGAATTAATTGAGGAAAAGAGATGCAAAAGCCATTTCTGATTGATATTGGTTTTCTTATCGTCGTCAAGCAGCATCCAAAATCTAAAACTATTATCAAAGTTTTTAACCTTAACTTTGCCTTCTCGAAACACCTCTCAGTTAAATGAAAAAACATGGTGGTTTTGTGAGGTTTTGCGTGAGGCAATCGCCCCACAGAATGGGATGATCTGTGGAATAAACACCCCTTTTCTGGCGCACTTAATGCTTCCATTTCCCCTCAGCAACTGGTGTCACAAGGGGGAAATGAAAGAATTGAGGGCGCCAGAAAGACGGGTTTTGTCGAGAGTCCAATTCGGGAGCTTGATTACATCAACGGTGATATTTACAAGGAACGACGTTGGAAATAAACCCGATTTTCGTGTACTTATCGAAATCGATTGATTTCAATTTTCATATTGAAAGAAAAAAGATTTTTGCAATGTTTTCAATAATTGTAATATATTCCTTATTAAGAAGATAACAATCTAGAGGACAGAGGTAAAAGGAAAGGTTTAGGCCTCTTTGTCATCTTTAGAGCTGAGAGCTTCGACTCCAAATCAATTTGAGCTTTTGTTATGGATCAATTTAGAGGACAAGAGGTAAAAAGGAAAGGTTTAGGCCTCTTTGTCATCTTTAGAGCTGAGAGCTTCGACTCCAAATCAATTTGAGCTTTTGTTATGAATCAATTCAGTAATCAAGGGAAATTCAAGCTAGAATAAAAGCTAATACTTGGTGTTTTATCGTTTTTGAACTGACGCTTTGTTGCAAATGAAAACATGTTTAAAATTCAAATGATTCTGTGGATCGTTCTTTAGTATTGTTTATGAAAATTTCAAATTGATATCTTATCCTTTCACTAGAGTATTCGAACATATTCGACTACGCTACAGCCAAAAAAACCAATTACTGCAATAGATGTGATGTGTTAGCTGACGCCCGGCCGAGCAAACGCCTGTGTCGTCTGCATAATCGGGATCCCCATAGCCGGGACTCGTCATCAACGACTCTCCATCACAAACTGTTCCACTCCATTTCCACGCGCATGCACTATTTTTCGCTTCTAAGAATTCACTTTTCTAACTTTCTTCGCACCTCACTCACTAATTTCCACCGGGAAACTCGGCCCACAGCCGGCTGGAACAAGCATACTGTAGAGAGTTGAGTAGAGAAATTATTTTGTTGCATTCAAACTTTTACAGATCACCTTTCTCAGCCTGAATTTAAAGCTAACCTTTCTAATTTTTCCTGTAGCATTTCACCGGGAAATCTTCTTGTTTCTTGAAGCAAATATAAGCGGGTACTTTGTAGTGAGCCATTTGAGTTTAAAAGATAAAACTAAAACTTGATCATTGAGCGCTTTTCAATTAGCTTGTCAACAAACGAGAAACGAACGTTTTATGCTAAATGCTTGATAGTCTGTGCACAGAAAATTTCTTTGTCTCATTTCAACTACTATTAGGTTGATGCATAAGTGTTTTTGTTCCTTTTCGTCTGCCGTTTCAAGCCAACAAATGCACCAATTAAACTACGGTTGATTTCATTAGAAAAACCAATTATTTTTCTGCAAAATAACATTAAAACGGGTTTCAAAATATTGAATGCCTGGATTTTCTTGAGAGTATGAAGTCGGGTAGTCAAAAAGGGCTAACTCGATGATGCGGTTTAGACACCTTAGCTAAAGAAAGCCTATCTTCGTGTCAATAGATGAAAGATAGAGAAAAAAACGTTTGATAATTCGCCAAAATTTCAGAGAAATTCATTCAGCCAATTTTTCCGCAGAGTTTTTTATAGTTACGAAAAAGGCGTTTTTCACTCTCGAATTTGCTTGAAAGTGAACCGAAATTGATTTAAAAAGATGCAAATTGAACAAAAAAACACTTTTTTTATAGAGCAAACTATAGATTAATTGGTGAATTTGTTACTTTTTAACAGAAGTACGAAAAAAACGAAAAGACTTATGCATCAACCTATAAAGTAGTTAGAATAAAGTGTCTCTTATCTTTTCAATAGCTCATGAACAAACCTATTAAAAATGAAACATTAAATATTAAATTAACTACAAACTAAACTACAATCTTTAACCAGCAATATTATTGCCAAAATTTTAGCAAAAAAAAAACTTTTGCCCACTTTTAACTTTGATACTCCGAATCAGAATCTCCATATTTTTGCTTATCAAATAGTATCAATCTTATTGTAAGCGGACAAGCGAATTTCTAAACTGCTGATAGAATTGGTCGCTGAATAAACTTACTAGATTACCAGATTTGACAAGGTGCTTATTTGAATTACTACTTTAGTAAGAAAATAGTATCAATAATCCAAAATGGCCCAATTTCCCATTTTCCATTCAATTATTGCTCTCTTTCGAACTATTTCCTTCACTTTTTTAACCGAATCGAGCCGTTGGCAGAAATAGCCTCTTCTCCTCCCCCTTGGCAAGCAGATGTCAGATAATGCCCGAACTGTATCAATCGGTAGCGATATCAAAGAAAAGATCATTCATTTCTCTTCATTTGTCACTTTCAAAATCTTTTCTCTTTACCTATTTTTCAATTTAGATAATTTAGCTGCTTTGAAAATGTCTCTTTAGCAATTTAGCTGCTTTGAAAATGTCTCTCTTCGAGCGAGCTTTCTCCTTCTTGAGCTGCACTCATTGCAAAAAGTTTTGTGAGTTTTAAAATCAACAAAAGACAAAAGACATTATCCAAATGAAATCATTTACCCTTTTTGATTTCAGTCGGCTACTACGGAAAGGTGCTTTCATGTGAGAATCGCTCGAATCGCAACTGCTTCGATCATGAGGCCGTTTGTGGAAAGTGCATGTGAGTCACTTCATCTTTAATAACTTTTAAACAAGAAATTTTAAGCCAAAGTTGACTTGACTTTGGCTTTTTTCTATCTAATTATGGGTAGTAATTGTTTACTTCAAAATTATTTCTCAGGCACGATCCTGCCGAATCGATTCACGCCATGAACAAGCAGCGCTACATCACCGAATTCGTCGCTCGTCGTCACGAGATTGAGGGTGAGTGATATCTATTAATTACGGTAGTAGTTGTTTACTTCAAAATGCTTCTGTTAAAGTTTGTACTTTTCAATCAACTATTCGACTCAAAAACCAATTGCTAGACCTGCATTAAGCTTGTCAGATCGGGCTGGAAGCACAGAAAGAACATTAGATACGAAGTAAGAATTCTATCTTCGGATTCTAAAATTCAGAAAAGATCCGTGATTTCCTCAACAAGATGGAGACGAAATTCTTTGATGGATTGATGATCGTAAGAGCTGAGACGAGCATTGCCAAACCTGCCATTACGTCGTTGAGCTGATCTATTGATCTATATCAATATAAGTCACAAATCAAGATCTTTAAGTTTGTAAGCTGACAAGAGGACAAATCTGAGATGGTTTATTGATTCTAAAATCAAAACAATTCACCTTTAGAGTTGTTCCAAGCGAGATCGCGGTTATCTGCTCAGAAGGACAAGGAGGACGATGATGATGAAAGAGTGCGGACAAGAAGGACGATGATGATGAAAGAGCTACTATGCAGAAACTCAATGTTGGTTTTAAACATTGAAAAAGGCATTTGCTAATAAAGTATGTAGCTATTATTGAATTGAACTATTTCCCAGCCCACTCAAGACCGGTGAGCTACTTGGAGAAGGTGAAGCCGAGGATTATCGCCAACAAACCACGCTCTCTTCCCGATGATGAGATTCGTGAGGTAGCTTACATGAATTATTAGATTATTGTTTCCTATTGCTTCGCGTGAATTCTATTCTTGAAAAGTTTATTCGTTTAGCGCACTGCACTTAAGAAGAAAGAGATCCGTGAAAAATTTTACAGAAAGAAAAATAGGAAATTAGAGTGTATGTACATTTTGAGATAGAGGAAACGTTTATTTCTTCTTGTAGACGGCCATATCAGACTCGTAGCGTTGCTTGTCCTTGTCAGCCAACTTTTCCCATTTCTGGAATTGATTTTGGTTTAAAAAGTTTCAGGATGGGTTACTGTATTTCGAGTGTATCTTTTCAGCAGGTGTAAAGCTAGCTCCAGCTTTGATTGAATTTGATCACTTTACTTGGTGCTTGCCTTGCGACGCTTTAAGGTTCTTCCTAACCTGACCGATTTATCCTTGAGCACTCTCCACTCTTCTCCAGCTACTTTACCGACTTCAGCGACACCCATACCCTCTTTCTCAAGTTGCGAGCGCAGTTCTCCTAGAAAGTCTTTTTGATAAGTTAGGTCAGATAAGTACTGTAAGATTGTTTGATGAATGATTATTGTACTCACTCCAAGCCAGAAGAAGAAAGCAGACATGGCCCGCTTTGGGGCATTCGGATCTTTCATCTTCTTTCCACCGGTTCTCTTCACCGGAGCCTCCTTGTTTTTCGATCCAGTGGGACGTCCACGAGCCATCTGAAAGAAATTCATTACCTTAAAGCTTTAGAATTACAAGATAATTTAAAAGAAAAATAATTGTTTCCCCATTCACCATGTTTCCCCATTTTTTTGTGTGTGATCGCACGCGGCGACCGACCCATCGATCGCGCCATTATCGGTGAAGGGAAAGGGAGCGGACGCTGGCGCGAGAGTAGCCCCATAGACACAAACATTATAGAAATTTGCGCTCGAATTTGATACGATTCTTGAGAATTGTTGGATTGTAGCGAATTCAGTCAAGGGATACTGTAGCTTTTCTCCGGCTGGGGTTACTATAGTTCAGCTATATTGTAACAGTGTGCTGCAAAAAGCAATGCACAGTTTAAGCTTACTGTAGCTAATTCAAGAACTTAGCTATGCATAGTTTAAGCTTACTGTAACTAATTCCAGAACCTAGCTATGACTCTGATTGAGAGTAACAGCTGAGCCAAGAAATCCATTAGACATTTTATGAGATAAGTTTAGATATTTCTATACTAATAAGTAAAAAGATACATTGTAGAAAGATTCTGTGCGTGAAGAAGACTCTCTGCTGTGTGCAGTGTTCGCGTTATGGCTGGCTCTTTGCCGTGAAAGCCAATGAGAGTGAGCGTGGCTTGGCGTGACGCCCAAGCATCGCGTCCTTTCCTCTCGGCCACCCAACAATCGCATCGATTCATGGGGCGACCACGGGTGGGTGAGGGGAAAAGGGAATGGAGGCGAATACGAGCATCGCGGGTGTTCTTTTTGGGGATGGAGAAGAGATTGCAAGGGAACACGGGTCCAAGGGTTGGCTAAGGGGATGGTCTCTTCTCTGTTACCAACCGCTCAACCCGGCACACATCCAAAAATGCCAAATGGCTTGGGTTTGGCACAACAATGGCGATTGAACGAAGAGTAAAGAGTAAAGATTTGAAAAGGAACTATTCAAATAGCACGGAGGAGTTGAATTTGGATTTTTATTTTTTAAGAATATCAAATAGGTTTTTGGTCACCGTATTTTCTCTAATAGCCCCAGTGAGCCGAGTTGGTGACGATTTTACGGTTTCCAAAGGTTTTGCAGAAGCTCAACACTCAAATCCCCCACTAGATCTCATCGTCAGCTACATTTTCCGACCCCACATCGATAGGTTCTGATAAGCGGTTCTCGAGATTTCGAGGAATTTAGGCGACGCTTGGGGTACACTACTATTAGAGAGAAGACGGTAATTGGTGAATTTGTTATTTTTTTCAATGAAAGTACGAAAAGGAACGAAAAGATTTTCCAAAAATAAACTTACAGGCACAAACTGATTTGCTGTTCAAACTGTCGCAAATAAGGTATGCTTTAGCTAAGTTCTTTTAAAAAGAAATAAAACTTAAGATTCAAGTTATATCGACTGTTGCATTGACTAGCACTAGGAAATAAGTACACTAGTTGACTCGAAACTTATTTTTTAATTTCAGTCATGGAGAACCACAGTGACGGACGATCTTCGGAATCATTTCGCTAAGGAGATGATCTTCGAGCCCACCATTCATTATAGAGTTGATCAAGCTGATCCTCGATATGTTCAACTTTCCGACTATGCAAAGAAATTGGAGGACAAACTGTACAAAAAGGCGACTAGCACGGTGCGTTCAACTCTAGCATCACAGTTTTTGATAAAGATTGGTGAAAGCGATTACTATCTAAAAGCAAAAAAAGAGCTTAAAGATGAGTCGAGAAAAAAGTTAAATCGATTTATTTTCAGGAAGATTACGTTCACCTGATGGCTGAGAAAATTCGCGTGATTCAAATGAAATTAGCTCATAGCAGAGATTTTTTCGTAAAGTTTTTATGAATTTTTACGAGTCAAACACGTGTTTTCACTCTCGAATTTTGCCTGAAAGTTAACCAAAATTGACTTAAAAAGATGGGAAAATGAACAATAAACACTTTTTATTTCGAGTAAACCATAGGTTAATTGGTGATTTTGTTATTTTTCAGCAGAAGTACTAAAAGGAACAAAAGACTTTCTAGAATTGGCAATAATTTAAGACTCAAAATTAGCCGTCTTGTTCTTAATAATTATAATATTACAGGACCTCGATGATGACCTTCCTGAGGATTGTTGAGATGATCAATTGTGTGGCCAATGGACGAGCAGTTGATGATCAGCCGGTAAATCTTCATATCGTGAAGAAGGCTTTGTTCAGAAATGGTGTAAAAGCTCAAAGGAGTGTGTCGACGATGCGTTGAAGAAGGACCCGGATACCCCAAAGCGGTCCATGTCTGCTTTCTTCTGGCGGCTTGCGGTGAGTACAATAACCATTCATCAAACAATCTTACAGTACTTATCTGACCTAACTTATCAAAAGACTTTCTAGGAGAACCGCGCTCGCATCAAGAAAGACGGTATGGGTGTCGCTGAAGTCGGTAAAGTAGCTGGAGAAGAGTGGAGAGTGCTCAAGGATAAATCGGTCAGTTAGAAGAACTTTTAAAGCACCAAGTAAAGTAATCCAGTAGTCAATCCTGGAACTCGTTTACCCATTTGAAAGATCTTTTGTAGTCACAATACACCGCTCTATTACAGTAATCAATAACCACCTAGGTTCTCCTTATACCCAGACTACGCATAGGTCCAACTTGTAGCCGAAATACAGTAACCCATCCTGGAAACTTTTGAAACCAAAACAAACTCCAGAAATGGGAAAAGTTGGCCGACAAGGACAGGCAACGCTACGAGTCTGAGCTGGCCGCCTACAAGAAATTTTCCTCTATTCAAAATGTGCATACAATCTAATTTCCTATTTTCTTTTCTATAACATTTTCCACGGATCTCTTTCTTCTTAAGTACATTGGGCTAAACGAGTAAACTTTTCTTCAAAAACAGAATTTACAAGAGCAATAAACGATAACAAAAACTTAACAAAATATTAACAGCAACGGCTCAAAAAGCAAATGTTCTAAAATTTCTCTTCCCTCTTCTTCTTCGTCTTCCGTCTCCGTTCTTCGTCTTCCGTTCGTCATCATCGTTGTTCCTGTTCAGCACCAAATTGACGCTGAAATTGTAGAGACCCTGGTTGGCTTTTTGCAAGCGAACGACCTAAAAGAACAACAAATCGTTATCGAAGTAAAAAGACCAGGACAATGATTTTATATGCACAAATCTCTCGGCGTAGCCTCTCCACCTCATCGTCACCACCATCTTCGAACAATGAATGCATTTGTGAATCTAGATACAATAAATAAGTATTTAATACTTAAAAGTAATCATACCATTTGTTTTGAACTCGAATTAGGGATCCTTGTGTTTCTAAAACCAATTCTTTTACGTAAAAATCAGACAAGACAAATTCTTCAACGTATCATCGATACACTCCTTTGAGATTTTACACCATTTCTGAGCAAAACGAAATCTCTCTTCACGATATGAATATTTTTACCGGCTGATCATCGTCCATTGACTACACAAAGCTCATCTATCCTGGCATTTGTGGCGATTTTCGGTCGACTAGCCGGCTGGTCAAAATCATGGAGTGTAGTGCCGGATAGTTGGGCACAAATTCGAGAGAAGAGATCGCGCCTTTCATCATTGAAACCAGAAAAAATCACTACAACCACTTATATCGCTATAGTACGGACATGACAGTAGTATATATAGTATGTGAAGAGCAGTCAAATTTACTAAGAATCTTGAATACCTTGATACATTGCCGGCTTGCAATATCCCATAGACAATATTTGCCGCTCATATCTCCACTCGCCAATAAAGTTCCATCTGCGTTGACGGCTAACATTGAGATTTCACACGAATGACCAGCAAATATCTGGAAGCAAAATTACAAGCCGATCATATAAAAAACCTTACTGGAATTGTGTCATTGTCGCTAGTGGTTTGAATGAGAATTTCTTGACGATTTCTATGAATATGAGATTTTCCAACCAACGCTTAAAAACTTACGATGTCATAGAGGTTGACTTGAGCAATTCGTCCCCTATCAGTTCCGAGAAACACCCTCGTTTCTGCCTTGTCTGTGCACAAGCAGTAAGCGGTCGTTCAGCTGATATCTAAACAAAGAGTCACATTAACTAGTAATTTTGAATAAGTTTCAGTCCCTTTCATTAACATTCTAAAAAATATCTGGTATTCAATCAATTCTTAAAATCCGATTTTATTCTTCTTACAATCAAAAGTGCTCATTTCTTCACCTTTTGGAAACAAGCATCCATAAGATTGAGTGCAAAAGGCATCGAGGCATGCTCCATTCCAACGGAGAGAATGCGAGGCGATCCACCACAAGAGACGGCAATCGACGAAGTTGCAAGCGAATGGGCTTTGGTTTTGCGGACTGGGTAAGTCGTTGATTGACGATCCAGGATTTACAATGCTAAATCGAAAATCTAGGGAAAAGCTAGTTACGGTATTCTTTTCCATCGCAACAATTTTTTTAGATTATTTAAATATTTGGATAGACTACCTTAAGATCGGAAATAAACTCACTCAGCAACCAGATAAACATGAATCGATCCATTAAGTGATGCGGTGATCAAGAGGGTGAATCATTTGAAATGGCCATATCCGAAATACTTTGATAGTGTGCGTCAAAGGAGGCAACGAGGTACCCAGAAGTCAACTAAAATAATCAAGTTAACTTGCAACTGTTCAACATTTACCATCAGACGCCAAACTCTTGTCTTGGTAGCGACAAAGAGCAATAATCCGTCTTTGGAAGTGACAAAAGTTGTCGCAGGCTCAGGAAGATAAGTCTAGAGAAACGTTTTTAAAGTTTCTCTAGAACGTTTTAAAGTTTCTCTAGTTTTAAAGTTCTAAAGAACGATAGCTTACCATTGAATGATATCGATCTTTTGGATGCAAGCCTTTGATGTGGATGATTGGTCGGTTCATTGACATTGACGAGGGAAATGCTTTCCATCGACTCCTAAACTTTGTT